TGAAGCTATGGAAACTCTTGGAATGCAGGGCTACTGAATCAAAAACGAAAAGTCCATTATTTTGACAGCAAAATCACCAAGTGTTTTTTTCAGTAATGTTTTTCGCCAACCCAGTAGACCATGCAACGGGGTTTGTAAACCAATGCTTCTTAACCCGTATAAAATCATTGTTCATTGTTCCTCGACGTCACGTGAATGAAATTAGACACCGTGTTCAGCACGCTAGTGGCAGTCGCGTCTGAAAGCAAAGACTTTCGCCGGAAGCAGATGAAGTCCAGAGGAGCCGGACACGAAACTGCATGACCTTAAGAGATATGACCTGGCGTTCTTATAAAGCCTGTCCGGATGTACTAGTCCGAGATGCCTACATAAATCAGCGGAACCACTGTGTCAAATTAGTCCTCGGCGACAAGCTTAAACACCGGTATGACTTAGCGACGAAATTCCCTACTATTCCTAAAAGCCTCAGGCACGTAAACAAGCTCTGGAGGGTGCATCGAGCAATCCCAATTCCACGTGCTGTAGATAGCGTGGCGCTCACTAAACGAGATTCAGCTAACGCGCTTCGGCAACATTTTACCTGCACTTACCAAAGGGAATGGTCACATGACCGATTTATGACGGAGGTCACTCCAGTACAAATGGGATGAAACTACTTTGCTCGCGTCTATACAGATCACCTAGTGCGGACAATGTTAGACCGAAGGAATTAAAAACAGTCGCCCTGAACTTTGCAGTACCGTGCGCCTTCTTTTCACTGAAGCTTTGATGAAATGCGGGGATAGTCACTGCTATTTTTAAGGGCGGGAGACCTGCGGAGCCTTCTAACTACCATCCAATCACCCTCCTCCTTGTGTCATCCAAAGTTATGGAAGGTATAATCGCAGAAACGCTCATGGGATACCTTGAAAGCAACAATATCATAGTCTCAAATCTGCATAAATTCCGCCGAAATGGGTGCGGTACTAAAAACTCGTTGTTGGACCGAGCAAGCTAGACGAAGTCAGCCGATGCCAGACAAGAACTTGAGGTTCCACACCTGGACTTCTCTGAACCATTTGACCACTAAGACCACCGAATTCTTCTTCACGTGCTTTGTGGCTGTGGAATGGGTGACCCTATGCTAGGCTGGTTAAGCAACCCTCATTAAACAACAGCTGAATGTGAGAGTGTGCAGATCCATCTCCGTCCCAATTGAGATCCCGTTTGGTGTGCCCCAAGGCTCGGTACTGGGAGCACGTCTGTTCCTAGGTTTCATCAAGGATCTTGCTAGGGTGCTTCAGTCAGACTTACTACTAGTTGCAGACGAGGTCAAGATCTGGCATGACATCAAAACGGTGGGCGTGCACGTGGCACAGAGGTTACGCGTGGTCCTCCGAAAATCGGCAAAATGAAAGCTTCTGAGCATACGCCATCAGGGTACTCACGGATAACGACTGGGACAGCAGCTGCTGCAACACGCTACGCAAGAAGGCGACGTTGGTGCAGTCATGCAGGAGGACCTCGGCTGCTTGAAACACAACGAAAAGTCATCTAGAAGACCTAGTCAGCACCCTGGACTCCTGCAAAGTGCGTTCGAGAAGATCGAACCATCAACCACTGCACAAGTGCTGAAGGCCTACGTGAGACCAACCGTGGAATACGCGGTCCGTGCCTGGCGACCTTCACGCCGATACGATGCTGCTGTACTCGAAACTCCACGACGTAGCGCAACAAAATTCGTTAGATATTTGTCTCGCCTACTCTACCTACTCGGATTGTAAGCCCTAGTGTTGTAAAGCGGCGAATACCGGCGCATGCGAGAAGACCACCTCATGGTGTAGCAAATACTGAGTAACCTCAACTACGCCTGTCACGATCTGTTGCAATTCAACCACAGTCCGAACCTGAGACGCCACCAGCAAAAACTGGCCACACACCAGAGTCCACTTGATTGCCAACAAAGCGGTTTCTCACTTCGGGTATCCAGAATGTGGAACGTCTTTCCTTCTCACGTTATTTTCGCCTCACACATTAACGCCTGTTAAAAATCGTTTGGACCACACTATCCAATTTACATTACGCGACATAGCCTGTTTCCACGGAAATACGAACTAAGGCAGTGCGCTTACCAGTCCTCTCAGCTACAATGCGGTGAGCGGCACACCACGTGTTCATGTGAATAAGTCGTTGCGTCAGCGCAAACCAGAATTTTCCATTTTTCCTGTCATTTTAAACAAGCATTTCATTAGCCCCTTCTGATTATCCTACGGAACCTGTTAAGGAATGCTTTTTGCCCATTACTAATCACTGTCCATTGGCAGATCGGTGAGAGCGGTTGCTGCTCTTACCGCCATCTTTGCAGCTTTTCTCATCTTCCTCTTGTAGACCTTCGTGATCCAATGACCAACCTTCTTTGTGAAGAGTGACAATCCTGGTAGCGCCTAAATATTACTGACTACGCCTAGATCACCCAAGTGCTATCTATAGTCTCTCACCGTCGTGAAACCATAAACGAACCACACCACTTGATTTCCCTAACTGTGTGTTATAAAACAGAGGAGATAACAAGCTGTATCTGGGCACAAGTTGGAACCAGTTGGTATATGGTGCTTCTCGAACATCTTAAATGACTGTCACATGGGCATCGATCCAACGGCTTCAGCGCAGCACGTGCGTAAATAACGCACCCGGCAAAACACAATAGCTGGTTGGTAGCCGAAGTGGATCCAAGCAAAACAAGTCAGGCAAGCAGAATGTAAACTATCTTACAACCAACATTTGAACAAATCATCAAATATGCAATTCAAACGAGTTCAATCAATGAATGTTGTGCGGTAGACGGACATTGAGGCAGTTATGAACAAATAACATAATGTACAGCTGCAGTGATCACGAAGATACCATGCCTATCTAGTCTTCCGGATATTGCCCCTTCTGATTATTTACTTTCATGGTGCTGTCGTAGTACCAATGGATCAAGCTGTTTTGGATATCGTCCAATACTTCCGACCGATCTCTTGACCATTAGTTATATTTCTTTAGACCACAAAGGCAGCAACGCCAGGGACCACATGTTGTTATTGACTAAAGTATACGCAACACCTGAAAGCAGTCCTGAGGTCATCGAGGCTACCATTGATCGCGAATTTAGTACGCTGTTTCCCAGTACCCCCATCTCACCAGTTTATAGGTTATGAAGTACCAGCGGGGCGTTTGAAAATTTTTGGTCTAAGACAGTCAAAACACAGTGAAACATATTTTGGCATCTAGTTCCAGAGGACCGCTAGTTGTAAGGGCACTGGCGAGGGAAGTGTTGCAGCTCTGCATTAAAATCGATGTGTATCTCGACTTCCTCAGACCAATGGCTAGTATTGTGGTCGAATGGATTGCATCTTCCGGGTTTTCAGTGAAGCTTTCGCATCTTTGACTACAGCTTGTGCTTGTGCATAAATCGAGTCTCTTAGCCCCGAGAAGTGTTGTTGAGTCGCCCTAGTCGTTTTCAGGAAACTCCAGTAGCGGAACAATAGGCTACACTTGCCCATAGTTAAACAAGATAATTTAGGCACTCTGTAACCTGAAATTACGCCTTCCTGTTCTCTGTACATGTGGTTTGGATGGAACCTCTTAAGGCGAATCGCTGTCCTTATCTGTGGAATCAGTTCTTCTAATCTAGGTAAGATCAATTGACCAACATCGAAATACAGAGATTGGTTGCTGAATTACGTGAGAGCGAATCTTTAATTGGACACAACAGGATCGCTGTCAAGGCAAAAATATGTTGAGTAGTCCAGTTGTTTGGATCGTGTTTTAATAGTTTGTTCTGGTTAACAAGCCTTATTTCATTAAATCATTTACGGATTTTTTAATTGGATTTGAAGTTTGCGAAGAGTCTAGTCGTAATAACCGAATCTGACGCGGTATGCAGACATAGTGAAAAGCCCAATTTGTTAGCACACCAAGAACCCTTGGCTGTGCTTCTGTTATTATTAAGCGCAATTAGGTCGGAAGGACTGCAATAAAGATTGACAAAAGTTGGTATCCAGAAGACAAATGTAACCAAGTGGAACCTAGATCTTAAATGGAATGGACGGTCAAACAAAAATTATTACTGAAGTTAACGCTCTTTAACATGGAGGCGGCAAGAGAGGAGGATACTTAATGTAGGTCCTTCTCATGTGTTCGAACCTTTGCTAGAGGAATTCATACTCGGTGAGGCAAACAAGAGCAGTAACGAATCATTAATCTCCAGCAAGCCAAGCATCGAACGCCTTTGGAAATGTATTTGTAGTTGTGGTGGTTACTTATTTCCTCAGCCGTTGCGTTTTTAGGTGGTGCTGATTGGACCACAGCTAGTTAACTTAGAAGCAGATAAGTTGTTACCTGGACATGGTTCAGTGAACTATATTTCCACTCTCGGAGGCAAAGGGCAAAGCTACACAACCAGCATGGCCTGCTTACATTGATCACGCCTTACGACTTACTGTGTGTTTATGTTGGATTCAGCTGCTTCATATAGTTCACTCTCTATTTTAACCTGGAAAGATGTTCCAAGAAGGCAGTAGATATTGTCGTGCTGTGCACTAAAACAAGTTAAGAAACGCGCAGGTCTACCGTGGGTAGTCGGAAGTTTTCCCAGTAGTATTTCCAAAGGATCTGGACGCGGAACACATGACTTTGAGGGATCCTTTTGACCAGCGTAGAAAGCTACTCTATGGAAAACTACTGGGAAGCCTGTATAACCGAGCAGAAGCACTGTGTCAGACCAGTTGGAATGAGAGAGGCTGAGATGCATGACACAACTAACACATTAAGTACTGACTACCGTTCACATTTCGTGCCCGGATTCCCAGAGGGATATGCATGTATCACATCTGCCACAATATCATGACAACCTCCATTATCCATTCCGTAGCAGTGACTAGCTGATGCTTACTAGCACACCACCTTAATTGGTTTAGCAAGCCATCGTTTCATCATTACATAAGAGGATAATGCTGCAGAAGTAATAGCACACTAACTTTACGTCTGGATTTACATCCCTCTTTGGTCGGCAAAAGCACAGGTAGAGTAGGCCCTTCGTTTGGATGAGCTAGTGGCACAGCACTGGTAGTTAGAGTGAATCGATTGGGGAGGTGGTGATCCAGCAACGGTACATCCTGGCCGACATTTGCGTTTTCCTCTTTAGAATGTGCAATTGGCTGTTCGCCACAAGTTATGACTGACGACTTCCTATCATTGCATCGGTCGCCATGCCTGATGGACTCTTTAGAGCTAAGGACGTCTTCTGCTTCACCGGAAGAATCATCAGTTGAAGTTATTGTGAATTTTCCTGTCAGTAGCTCTGTGTCGCTGAATACACAATACCGCAGATTGCGTCGAGCATCGCGGAACTTTTGCATCTGCTCTTGCTCGTAGATGGATGTTTCAAGGTCGGTGCTTTGCTGTTTCCTCGACAGGGTGCCTTCTGTCACAGGTGAAAAGAAATCGGTCGCGGATCGGAGACTGTGTAGGTACCTCTGTTTTGGATCTCTGCTAGGAGAGAAATAAAAGGGACTGAATACCACATGGAAACTTACGAAGAGATAGAAAACCAACGTCGTCTGGCTCAAATGTGGTGGGCTAGTTTCTAAACAGCGGCAGGTTGAAATTACTGGATAGCATAATTATTACAGCAATTACTAAAAGCATTCATAGTTTTGAATCTGGATAAAAATACTAAGTTGTTCTTTGAGTTGGACGGTTTGTCCACAGGTGCATTATCAGAAACCAAGACAACTACACAGCGCAGTCTCCAGTGAGTCCAACTTAACCAGAAACCTGGGGAACGGCTCACGGTTAAAATCTGTACCACCGAGTTTACAACTATACTCGTCGTAGAGACCACGGTTTTAAGCAGATGGATGCAATATGTCAAAAGAAAAGCTAGGCTTTCAATCTTATTTGCGAGGCATGGTGGTTACTACACCACTCAAGTGAACACTTGGGTAAAAGGTACAGGGAGAACAAAGCTTTGACAGCTATGGCACTAAAGTTACAGTACAGTGCATCAACATCGGAATTCCTCTTGTACCGAACAGTTATTCATGAAGACAGATGTATCGGTTTTTCTCACAAAATGTTGCACTGAACCGTTTCGAGTAAGGTCAGACTTGATTCACACGATTCACAGTTGTATAGTCTCCAAGATTTCCAAATTCACAGGAGTACTTTCGAAGTATATATAAGTACTATACATGTACGCCACAGCTTACACACCGCATCGGATCGATTACTACACTGGACCGCATTTATCATCGCTGAATTAAATGGTGAACGGGTTGTTTTACATTTCATTCTTACTTTTCATTTCAATTTACTTGTACAGCATGATGTTTTGATGTAACACAATAAAATAGTTCACAATTTAAGGAGGTCACGCTGTTTACACGGAATCTAATTGCGGGTCTCCTTGTTTACTCGTAATTTAGTGGTGTCTAGCTTACTTATAATCACTGGTGTAGACGCACAGTGCCCACGGTACAATTTGTTCCGTTCTCTGCCTATAATTCCTACAGCCCGGACGGTGCGTCTGAGTCAATATCTTTGGATCAAAGTTGGACAACGATTTCTGCAAAAACAGTCGCTCGGGATTGAAAAAATTCAAGCAACGAAATCTAACTTTCGTTAAAGCACAAGAATAACAATTCTTGGAAATTAGCTTAGAACGACTACCCAAACAAGCAGTATTAGCTGCTTCCATTTCAACACTTATCCAGCCATACAGGCATCCAGAAGCTCAAAGTACCCGGCCAGTTGCAAGGATGAATAAAGTCTTCACGTGTGTCGACCGCCTGAACCACCCCATTCTCCTTCACAAGCTTCGAAGCCCTAAAACCGGAGACACTGTGCTAATTTGGCTGAACAACTTTCACGCTGACGCGCCAGCCAACAGACGCATGGTTATCGCGCTCCACCTGTTCCGGATTATTCTCCTATCTACGTTTTAGCAGGGTAATCCCAATATGGTCATCCGAATCTACTGAGTCATCATAAGTGTAATTATCTTCCACGGTTCACGATTCCAGCAACACCTGTTTAAACGGCTGTGGTGCTTAAATCTATTCACACATGTTTATGGTGTGAGCGCAAACCCCAGTGGTGTAGCATGGTTTGGCGCAGTAATCTCGAGGCTTTCCAACGATCTCAAGCTTGTTCCAATATGGTGTTCTTCCAGACTGCTGTAGGGAAATTTGTGCCCTCTTATTCTCTCTGTGTATAGCATTAGCATTCAACTTCAAAAACAGACTTACCCAGTCAGAGCGAACATCCATCGACCGGCTAATCAACAAAGCTCGTCTGTTTACCTTACTAGGGATTGCAGTTAATGTGCAATGAAAGTATACGGATTAAAAAGTACTGCTTTACAAGCCGCGTTGTGTGGTCTGGTGGGTTATGGAAAAACTTAATAAAAAATGTAGTTAGTAGTTCATCTGTCAAATGAATGGACCTATCGTATCTAATACAGTAGTCCTGCATTCTGAGTACTTTCATGGCTTGGATAGGCAGAAAAATAAACCTAAGCTATTTCCCGGGATTAGGATGGAGAGTAGTGTCTCATACTAAAATACAAGTGGTGGAGTGTGTCACCTAACCGACTTTCAAATATGCTTAGCGTGCGTGCAGTATTAACCGATTCGGAGACTGCGTCCCAAGGTTGACACATGCGAATGGAAAAGAAATTTCTACGGCACTCCAGACGGCTGTAATTTGCTGCTAACCTCAAGGAGTGATCTCTAGGGTTGATGTTACCGTTGAGTTGCAGTAAAAAGCGGCACTCATGATTTAGAGTGTGTAAAATCAAGTAAGTCATTATATTGTCGTCTCATATATGGAGATACCACCCGCTGAATATTCCCAAACGTTTCAGCCTCCGCTCGTATGGTAGGTGGTGTTTTCCAACGACATATTTCGAAACCTGACCTTGAAGTTGGTCCAGTGCAGCGAGTTCATGCTTCAGCCATGGATGCCAGGTTTGAATTGCGTTTTCGACATGGGGCGAACATAGGCATTGTGCATCTGTCCGAAACTAGTGATGTCTATTTGTCCGAATGCGTGTCTAAACAATCCGACATATTGGTTAGCGGTTTTTCCATGCCTTTTCGGATTCCCCAGCATAACCCAAGTTATCTTGAACTTGCATGCCAAGGTCGCGTTCGACGGATGATGGCTGCAGTACTTTCTTTCCGATCCTATAGGAATAGGTACTCTGGGGACATATGGAGTGTAACTTGCATTTACTCACTTGGAACTGCTGCAACTTTTGAGTTGACCATTGATGTACCACATACAGAGCACGCTGAAGTACATTCTGGATAGCATCCGCCTCAAGCCTGCACCGTGTCTTGATATCGTTAGCTAACAGTAAGAAATTTGAAGCGATTGTCCGCGCAAGGTCATTAATAAACATAAAAAACCATTGTGGCTTTAGAACTGGGCCCTGAGGCAAACCAGACTCGACTGGTATGGTAGCAGATAAGAAACTCCGGACTCGGACCCTTAGAAAACCTTTCAGGAGAAAGTTGGCGATCCACCATAAGAACGGGTCAAGGATCCCGTAATATTAGAACATGAAAAAGAGAATCCGATGGTTTGAGTGATCGAATATCGTCGACAAACACTAGTAGATCCCATCACCGGCCTCTACAGGTTCAGCTGACTCGCTCCAACTATTCGGTACTGTTAATAAATTTGTTGTGTACGGTCACTGTTTACGAAATCCGTGTTGCTCGGGACCAATAATGCTACAATTTTCTAGATCACACACCAACGCATCGGCAACGATGGATCCCATTAAATTAGGCAGAACGGCAAGAAGAGCTACTGGGAGGCAGTTTGAGAGCTCAGCCCTACTTCTGCATGTATGAATCGGTTTTTACTCCAAGCTTCCACGTCGTAGGAGTTTGGTTCAGATCTAAGCAGCGCTGAAAGAATTGAACCAAAAGATTTGCCAGTTATCTTGCTGCTGCTCCCTGGGCCTCTGAGCCAATGTTACCGACTCCCGGTGTGCTGTGGTAGCGCAGAAACGTCAGTTTCTGCCGTACAGCTTCAGCAGTAAAAGAATTGTGTAAGTACTGGAAGTGTGTAAACAAAAGCTGGAGCATGGCCTGCTGGTAAGACTCGCCGAAATGTGAGAGCACATTGCGTCCGCAACGGGTTTGCTGCCTCTACAGCAGTTCTAGTTGGACCACCAGCCGTCCATAGTAGAGGAATTCTCTGCCTCACCTTACGCAGTCCATTGACGTACTTGTACATCAGTTAATAGTCGGAGCTATAGGTTTTTATCATCTTCTGCTGGTTTGCGACTTTATTATCTAGAAGCGGCGGGATAGGCTACGGTGCGATGAGGTTGGCGGTGGCTAGATCCTGACAGATGTTCTACCCACTGCTGCAACTGTTGTGCCATGTGCTCAGGTCCTGGATGCATCCTTATGGCTACCGCTGGGTGGCAGTTGGGTTACGCCCATCTCCCTGCTAAGATCCAGGACACCAATCCGCAAGAGTCAGTGAACAGACCATGTGCTAGACCCGTTACCTTTCAAGTGTACATTTAATCGAAGGCTTTGGCTGAGAACCCGAGTCCTGTTCCTGTCAAGTGTGGGCGTCCTGCCAGTATCCTAGTCCATCCTACTCGGAGGTTAGGACATGCTCCAGGGCCATGTGTCTGTAAAACCTAGCTATGGGAAACAACAGGTCTACGGGTTATAAGATCACAGCTCGATTAGCGTAGAGCACGAGCACCACGCATTGTCTCTGACGGTGAGCGGGCACCTCCGGGTGTTCAACGGTTTGTTACTGCCCGCCTCAAATCAGACAGCCCCTGGTCAAATTGGTGCAAACCAGTTAAAACCCACCTGCGTCTGGTCGTCGTAGCAGATGCATATTCTACTACGGTCGCAAAACACATATGAATCGTTCCAGTACTTCAAAGGCTGCGTGTGACGAACATCAAGCAGATCCCAATCTGTTTCTGCAAACACATACCCGAGTGGGATCTGCGCCCCACTGCCTTGTGGGTCAGATTATTGAGCCAAAGGCTTCGGGCGGAGTCCGTCAAGCAAACCTCCAAACCACCCGCTGCCTTGTGGGTAAGGCTATTGAGTCAAAGGCTCCGGGTGGAGTCCCTCAAGCAAACCTCCGAAGCACAACGACCACCTCGCGTGCGATTACCCACCAATGCAATCGTATGCCTGCACGCAAAGCACTCAACATCTGGGGCTGGAACGTCGGCGCACTACTGAACCGGAACTCGAGTGAGCGCCCGAGCGACGCACTGCACTGGTCGCGATGGAACTGGCTCGTTACATTATCGATGTTGCGGCGTTCAGTGAGATCCGGCTCGCTGAGCAAGGCAAGTTGCATGAATCTGGTGCTAGCTGCACGTTCTACTAGGTGGGCAACATCACCTCAGCACCCCGTGAACATGGGGTAGGATTTACAATATCCGGTCGCCTCCATGGCCAGCTTGTGGGTGAACCAACAGGCATCAGCTC